TGCGGAAGCACACGCATGCCGTGTCTCTAGAGCATCGGCCTCCTGCAAGAAGCAATCCAAGCAGCCAGCGCATCTCAGCGTAGACCAGAAAGGAGTCGGAATCATTAGAATATACGTAATCTGGTTTCGAAGTATCATATAGTAACATGGTATGATTAGGAGTTTAATGCGTCATCACTTCGAAGTGTTCGACTTCTATATTAGTGCCTGCATGATCGAGACTGGCTTATTGTCCAAACTCATAAAGATCAACGCCGCTAAACCCACGAAGCCCTAAAACGTCAGCTTTCCCGGACCCCAAGTCTTCAGCTGCCAGGCGGCAAAGAGGGTGTGTTGTACCAAAGAGATTCCACATCCCAACTGCACTGGATCATCTTCGTCGTCGGTTCGAAACCTGTCTGGGTCTGTCGGGTCTTGCATGGGGATTTTCGGTCCCTAAAACTAGCCCTAACCCCCCAGGTACCTACTATATATGGTACTAGAGCCCCTGGGGCCCTATATAGTAGGTACCTGGGGGTTAGGGTAGGGTCCCTAGGGTTCCTTTTAGTGCATGACGAGACGCGAAGCCTTGCGTCGCCAGAGATCTTTGGATATGGCTCCTGCCGAGGTTGAAGCTCTGATCCCTTCTTTGTCGACGTGTCCAGGGCAGAAGCTTCAACTTACAACATTGCTAGCAGCAGTCCATTTCCCCTAGCTGACGCTGCTGGAAGCACATCATGCTTCAATTGCCACCTCTCGGGTCCCTTGTTATAGGCCTGATCGGTTCTAAAGGCAGGACATCTCAAACAATCTGGATTGCCTCGCCAAGCTCTCTGTGCCAGTTGACCACACCAATGCGCATGTAGCCTCAACTGACCAGGATTCCGGTTTCAATGGAGCCTTCACAATAATGGCAACGGCTCCGTTCTCCCCTGACTCCCCATCAACCGCAAACAGAGCCACCTCCCACGTAAAGCACGCGTTAAGGACTTAAGTGTTGCTGCTCCTTTGCCCGCCAAAATCACCAACATCTCATCGGAAAGGGGTTTAATCCCCTGAGCTCTTTGGCCCCGGGGTTAAGCTTGAAAACGATTCAGAGTCCGACCGAGCTGCGCATAAGATTCTCCGCCTCCGGCTGCTCTTGCAAGGGCAAAAACCTGTGCGTAGCAGTGCAGCTTCTCTGGGCTTGCGAATTTTTTTAGCTTGTTACAGGACCTTCATAACCAGAAAAAGTTGTTGTGTGTATGTATGTATGTATGTAT